AAAGCAATTATATAAATAAAACGATTACAAAAACATTAAGAAAAAAATTGGGAAAATGGCATAAAGTTAGAAAAACGAAATGTTCCAATTAAAATATATAAATATGTAGAATATATTTTAAAAATATTTATAGAAAAGAATGTATTTGAAGTCTCTTTTTCTTATACTCGGTAACATTTTTGGTGCAAACTTTATAGTGTAATTATTAAGAATTTTTTTAGATAAAAATATTATATAATTTATATAAATGGAAATGAGTAAAATATAATATCACGTCTTCTTAAGAAATAATATTATCATTTTCATTATGTATATTATTGTGATTGGTATTACATTCTTCGTTTTCTAAACAAATTTTAATTTCCCGATTTTTACTTATATTTATTTTTGGAGACGTAGTCTCTGTAGTGTATATGAACATGTGGTGATACTTATGAAGCAAGAAATTTCGGATCAAATAAAATGAAGTCTAAATGTGTGTAATAAAAATGTTATACGTGCATTTGATTTGAGATCTGATAGCTCTAAATGTGACAATATTGCAAAAGACTAAATTAAAAGAGTAACGCTATGTGTACACAGCAGTGTACACACCACTACACATCATAAAAAGCACACCCCCCTCCCTTTTCTAACCCATTTAACCCCCTGCCCTCTCCTTTCTCCTCCATTCCAAAAAAACACAAGCCCACTCTTTTCTCTTTCCCCCCAAAGAAACTGATTCCATCTCTTAACCCCCTCCCCCGTCGAACTGCTTCAGGCGAGCCACTCCATTGCCGCCCCTCTCCATCGAAGTTCATCGGTAGTTGCACCCTCCCGTCCGGTGTGTGCGCAAAGTCCAGAAGTTAGCAACCGGCCCAATTTTCTTCTCCTTTGAGTCGCCATTCTTCACGCTGAAGTTGCTGGGTTTTGCCTCCGCCACCACTTCACTCTTTACTGGAAATGGTTCGCACTTCATTGACGGAATTGGCTAAAAGGTAATTGTTTTTTAACCTTGTTTTGAGTTTATTTTGGAGTGAAATTTTGTTTGAAGTGAAACTATATTTTCTCTACTGTGATTTTTTAGTGTGTGTTCTTATATGTTTGTGGTTTTTCAGATGTCTGTGTAGTGTGTTGTTAAATGTTTTGTGATTTTAAGATGTCTGTTTAGTTAATTCTTATATGTTTGTGCATATTAGAGTTGTCTCCATGCATTTATATATGTTTGCTATTGTGCATTTTAGGCCTGTCTGTATTGCATCTCAGATATGTGTATGCCCAAGAATTTGTCAGTTGTGTGGCATTGTTCAGTTGTCTGTGTGGCATTTTGAGCTGTCTGAGTTTGTGAGAGTTGTCTGTTTCCTCTTATATGTGTCTCTATTTTATGGTGTTACTGAGATATCTGTCTAGTGTGTGTCTTATTTTCCTGAGATGTCTGTGTAGTTTGTTATATATGTTTGTGTTTCTTTTCACTTGTCTATATGGTGTTACTGAGATGTCTGTGTAGTGTGTGTCTTATTTTCCTGAGATGTCTATGTAGTTTGTTATATATGTTTGTGGTTCTTTTCACTCGTCTATAGGCATGGAAATGGGTCGGGACGGGGCGGGTACCGCAAGACCCAGACCCGCCCCGTGACTTGGCGGGGCGGGGCGGGTCCGCCCCGTGACCTGCACAGGTCCAAACTTGTTGACCCATGACCCGCCCCATGCGGGGCGGGTCCGCCCCGCCCCGCCCCGTCGTAACCTAATTAGCTAGTATGTATTTTTATTTGTGGGAAGTTGTTACCAATTGAATCTACATAAAGTTTATCACTGAATAATAATTAAAAATTAATATATTAAATCAAATTCATGATACTCTAAAAATTTCAAAAATTAAAAACAAAATACTCAGAATTGAATAGTTAATCTATTTAATTATACTAATAATTGAACATATGTATTAAAATGCTATATATATAACGATAAAAAAAATGCTATATATAAAGAAGACATTGATAATCCGTCGTTTATCTCATTCTAATATATGTATTAATATATTATAAGATCAAAGAATTTATGATTTACTGTAACACACATATGTATGTTGAAGTATATTTGTAGTATAATTTAAGAAAAAAGTATGTATGCTTACGTATTGAGCGGGTCGGGGCGGGGTGGGTCGGGGCGGCACGGGTCAATACTAATACCCGGACCCGCCCCATTGTCTAGGCGGGGCGGGGCGGACCCGCCCCATTTGGAAGACGGGGCGGGCCGGACCCGCCCCAAATGTCTCGGGCCAGGGCGGGTGACTGCGGGTCGGTTTTTTTTGACATCCCTACTCGTCTATATGGTGTTACTGAGATGTCTGTCTACTGTGTGTCTTATTTTCCTGAGATGTCTGTGTAGTTTGTTATATATGTTTGCTCTGTTAGTTTATTCGCGTATAATTCGCGTATAATACACTCAAACGTATAATTCGCGTATAATACTCCCGTTTATGATTTTTTCAAAAAATACGGAAAAATTCGCGTACTTTAAGAATAAAATGTATAATACACGTACCGTACGTATTGATACGTATTTTATTCCCGTATAATACTCTTGTTTATGAATTTTTCAGAAAATTCTGGAAACCTCACGTACTTTAAGCATAAAATGTATAATACACGTACTGTATGTATTGATGCATATTTTATTCAAAAAAAAAACACACCATTAAACGGAAGCCTAATGTAGTGTGAAACGAAATGTTTAGCTGCTCAATATTATTTATATTGCTTAAAAAAATTATGCCTTATATGTTCGTTAATTGTTTCATAGTCATTACATTTAATAAATTAGCTTCTTAAATTCGTAATCCTTTTCAATACTACTATTGTACTACTAATGTTCTCCACACTTACCAAGACTCCAAAGAGATCGTAAAATGTTGTGGCGGCTCACGAAACTCACGGTCACAGTAATATCAACTATTCTCTAATAATATCTCTCTACTTCTACTCAAATAGGCAATGCCATTTTATTACTTATTGTACTTATGTGTTCAAATCCGTATATATGAGGAGGAAGACGATCCGTTGTTATTTCTTTTGCAAGAAATCTTCCGTTTTCATCTTAATTTTTTTTGAAGGAAGTCCATCTTAATATTATATATCTATATATTTACATATATACGTATATATGTCTCTATGTATATAAATGTTTGTATATGTTGAATTATTTGGATAGAAAAAAAGGCCACGGGAGCTGGTCGAGTGGCTCTCCACCTTTTCCTCTTCAATTTCTCAATTTGTCCTATAAGGGTATTTGTGTATTTTGATAATTTATTACATCAAAAATCACTTTTCTACCAAACACTTCAACTTTTACACTTTATTCACAATCACTTCTATTCCCAAACCCTACCTACTTTTAATACAAATCACTTTTCCTAAAATCTCTTAAAAAAATCACTTTTGAAAAGCACAAGTAATCATAAACACTCACTTAGAGCTCTTCCATGGTCGTATCTATGTCAACACCACCATATCTATGTCGTCCTAGCAGGCTTGCCATCCTGCATCGTTTCTTTTCTTTCTCTCTCTTTTATGTTTGATGGTGTGGATGGCAGACGAGAATAGCTTCACTACTAGTATTTGTTAAATTTCCATTTTGCTTGATCCAAAAACTAACCTTATCATTTTTTCTTTAAAGTAAGTAATTTGTGATTATACTTAATTTTCTTTATTATCTACTCATATCTATTTGGACGAGAGTAGTAACTAAGGTACAAAAAGCATGAAACAGAGGGAGGAAAAATGGTAGGAAAGAGAAGAATAGAAGGTGGAAAATAAAGAAAATGAAATAAAGAATGAAAAAGTAAACATTATATATATATATGATTGATTACAAATATGTACTTTGCAATTTTCTTTTTCTGCATTTGTCCTAAAAACTTTGCCACTTTCGTTTTAGCATAATGAATTTGTGGTTTAGCTTTTTTTTCAACACAGACCTCAAGCACATAGTTTTCACTTTTCTTATTTTTCACAGAACACAAAATTTGCAAAAGTAGGACGAAACGTAAGCATAAATGCATAAATATGATTCACTGTTTTTATTCACTAAATAAGATTAACTATTGGATTTTTTTTCAAGAATATTACTAAAATAAAACTTATTTACACAAATATGACTAGTAGTTACAACAACGCATTGTCATGGTAAATTAAGTTTAAGAATTCAATATAAGTTACTATGATTCCATCACTAATCTAGTCACCAGTCCTACTTTTGTAATCAATCTTATTTTCAGTCATATACATGCAATCATTTCTTAAATATTACATTTGTATTCTTATTATAATTAATTAATAAAATTAATTAGTCTCTAGTCCCCTCGCAGAATCAAGGTTTCCGTTGATGGCGAAGGAGCCTGATGATGGCGGCAGTGCTCTGGCATTAGGTGATGACACTTTGGGAATTTGACCTACCATGTTATACGGAGTAAGGGAGTGTTTGCAAGAGATTTAAAAGTATTTTCCGACTTCTAACTTAAAAAATTAAAATGAGTGTTTTCAAGTGACATTTTCAACTTTAAAGAGAGGGGTTTTAAAGTGTTTTTTACCTTTTCTATTACACAAAAATTACTTATTTTATTAAACAATACACGATATATTTTTTTTTAAAGCACATTTTTCTGAAACACTACTAACTTTTATTTTTAGTATTTTTTTTTCTTTCTAACATCACTTCAAATAATTACTTTTTCAAAGTAGAACCAACCCAGAGCGTAAATGTAGAAAACAATCAGATGCCTGATACTCCTTCCGTCCCGCTAAGATTGTCCAGACACTATTCACTTGGTCAACACAAGTCATTTTTAATCTCTTACTTTATACGCAGTATATCAATTTTTTTTATCAAATCTGATTCTAGTTTTTGCGAATTTGTAAAGTTTTTAACGTAATTTTTGAATATGTATTTTTTTTCTAAAAATAATCTCTTACTTTATCGTTGGTCAATCCTAAACCGAATTGTCCTAAATGGGGCGGAGGCAGTAGTATATGTTGGTCCCATATTCAAGCTTGGGACCCTTCAAGCTTTGTTCTTCAACACCTTATGGAAGCCTGGAATTGATTTGGCGGGTCTATACCGATCCGAGGATTGACCGGTAAGTTTGGACTGGAAAACACATCGTGAACACTGTCTCTGCACTCTGCAGTCTTCACACGTGTATATAAATTGACGTCAACCCACCATAGCGTTTGCAGTTATTGTTCCATGGCTCATCTTTTGGGAGGATTCGCCCCTCCACTCACCTTCAAGCCCAGAACTGTCGCTGCTTCCGCTTCTACATTCTTTAACACCCAATCTTCTTCATCTTCCCATGCCCTAGATGCCACTTTCATCAAACGGGCTGCGGAGCTAGCTGATAAGTCCGCCGGATTCACTGCCCCTCACCCCAATTTTGGGTGCGTAATTGCCACTACCTGCGGCGGACGTGAAGCGGATTCAACGGTGGGAGAGGGCTATTTGTATGCCGAGGGGACCACGACCGCTGAAGTGCAGGCAGTGGAAGCTGCCGGGGAGAAGTGCAGAGGCGCCACTGCTTATCTAAACATGGAACCAAGCAACTCGTGTGGTGACGCCGCCGCGGTATCCGCTCTTATCCAGGTTGTTTTACACACGAATTTGAAATACGCCTTCTTTCATTCGCGTGATATATTTTAGGTATTTGTTCCTAGCAGTTTGCATTCTTAGCCCCAGCTAACTGGTAAAGAGATACCCCGTGTCGCCCTTAGCTAAATAAAACCTAAATAGCTCCCCAATCCTTGAAACTGTGAACTTTCTTGACTGCGTACATGCCAAATATAAGGGAAAAAGATCTTCTTTGTTGGAGAACTATGAGTGTGTAGTAGTATTTAATCAGCCAATGCCCCCCCCCCCCCCCCCCCGATTAACTGCAGAAAAAGTCAACTAAATATATTAAGGCACCTGTAGGTATTAACAGAATGTGGCTGAAAATGCTAATTGTATGTTAGCATTTGGTCCTGGAAGTGTGATCTGAATATAACGAATTCATGCTGATTAGGCAGGAATTGCAAGAGTTGTTATTGGGATTCGTCATCCTTTGCAACATCTTCGGGGTAATGCAATTCATGCACTGAGAAGTCAGGGTTTACAGGTTGATGTGATAGGGGAAGACCTGCATAGCAAAATTTTTGAGGTAACTTGTTTGGTTCTTAAAGAACAACATGATAAATGTGTACATGTAAGCATATATTTTTTCATTTCGATATATTTGGTGATTGGAAGTGCTATTGATAGCATTAGGAATGTATTCTCGAATGATTAAAAGTTCCATTAAAAATCAGTATGCAATCTTCTGCCCCGAAATTAACGTTTAGTGTATTATCTGCCCCGATAACTAATTAGTGTCGATGATAACTTCCCCAGTGCAATGTTATCTCTATCAATTTTACTAATCATGAAATTCCACCATCTAGTCAGAGGGTTTATGTGGATTTGTCATTCTGATAATGGCACGTGAGTCCTCTTGTACCTTTGTATGTAACTCACTCCACCCTGGCAGATTCATTATTTTTCTCCTACCATTATTATGGAACTACTTTTATCCTGATTTAGCCCAAGTTTCTAATAAGACACTGTATCAAAATAGAATATCATTATATAGTGTTAGAGATACTATATCTACGAATAATGTAATAAGCCTAGCATTTAGTTAGCCTGTTATAGTTAGTCAAGCTGTTTAGATTCAGTTACAAGTTTGTTATACTACCTCTCTATAAATACTGATGTACTGGTATTATGTGATTAATGAAATCCTTCCACTTCATTCTATACTCTGGCTACTTTTGTAATATGGTATCAGAGCTTTGAGCTCGATCTACCATGACGAATTCAACCTCTACAACATCTTCTTCTTCCGCAGCTGGAAATATCACGTTTCCATCTGTGTTCACGCATCCTCTCCCAATCAAACTTGATTCAAACAATTTTCTTCTTTGGAAGCATCATATCGAATCCATCATTCGAGCACACAAATTATTGCAATTTGTGGAAAATCCGAAGATTCCAGCTCAGTTCATCAATGGCGATGACGGAACCAAGACAATCAACGATGAATATGCTGTATGGGAACAACAGGATCAGATGCTATTCTCATGGCTTCTTTCCTCTCTATCGGACTCACTTCATGCTCGCGTAATTCATTGCCAACGTTCGCACGAGCTTTGGAGTACGATTCGGAAGTTTTTTCAATCAAATCTCACTGCGAAAGCACGCCAGCTCAAATCCGAGCTCTACAACACTGGTAAAGGAGATCGCTCGATTGAAGAATATCTTCTTCGGATTCAAACAACTGTTGATAATCTGAGTTTGATTGGTGAGCCAATTTCTACTAAAGAACATGTGAATGTTATTCTTGAGGGACTTCCAGAGGAATATGAATCTATTGTATCATCTGTATCCTCTCGAAGCCTCCTTGATCCAATAACTGTTACAGAACTTGAACCTCTGCTTTTACTCAAAGAAATGCGTCTGAAAAAGCATCGTGAAGCAACTACTCCTGCTATCTTTTCCGCTAATGTTGTTCATACTGAAAACACATCTCAAACCTCCAATTCAGAAACTGTCACAGCAATCGAATCCTCTTCTGCAAATATAGTTCAATTTCATAACCCTAATCAGTCGAATCCGTATAGAGGAAGAGGTCGTGGAGGCCCAAACAGAGGTAGAGGTGGTCGTTTTGGAAATCGAAGCTCAGTAATATGTCAGGTGTGTGGAAAGTCTGGACATCATGCCCTAATCTGTCATCATCGCTACAATCCCAATTTTACCTATCCAAACCCTAATCCAATTTACACCAATTCTAACTATGGATCTTCAAGCCACTGGAACTCACAAGCACCTAATCCATACACTCCATCTCACTTCAACTATTCACCCTACTATACTCCAAGACAGAATACACCTCAGCACTTCAGCTCTTCAGCTCCTGGGCATCTTCCTAACCACCAATTTACAGTTCAAGAGACTCTCAATTGGGATCAGCACTCATCCAGACCTCTACCATCTGCAGCCTTTGCTAGTACAAACTCTGTTCTTGGACCACCTCCATCTACTCAACAATGGTTCCCTGATTCAGGTGCTACTCACCATGTGACTGCTGATCCACTCAATTTTCAGCACAGTGAACCTCTTGTTTCAACTGACAAACTCTTTATGGGTAATGGTCAAGGTGTGGATATCAAATCTATTGGTTTTTCTTCCTTTCTATCTCCCTATTCTAAGTCTCAGTCTCTTATGTTAACTAATATGCTTCATGTCCCTTCTATAACCAAAAATCTCATGAGTGTTAGTAAATTTGCTAAAGACAACAATGTTTTCTTTGAATTCTATCCTTATGATTGTTATGTCAAATCCCAGGCTTCTAAACAGGTTCTTCTACATGGAGTTCTTGGTGCTGATGGTCTATACAAGTTCCAGTCCATACCTCCTCTTGGTTTACATCAATTCAAAGATGCAAGTCTGTCCACAACAAACACCCCTTTGTATCCCCTTTCCTTTGTTTCCACTTATAATAAGTCTACCTCTTGTAATAATGCCTCAGTTTCTTGTAATGTTTGGCACCTAAGATTAGGCCATCCACATTTTGAAGCATTGAAATCTGTACTCAACACTTGTAATGTGTCTGCCATAAATAAAAGTGATATTTCATTTTGTTCTTCTTGTTGTCTTGGTAAGGCTCACAGACTGCCTTCACACTCATCTCATACTGTCTATAAGTCCCCATTTGATCTTATCTTTACTGACTTATGGGGACCAGCCCCCATGTTATCATTTGATGGATATTCATATTACATCTCCTTCATTGATGCCTGTACCCGATATACTTGGATATATTTTCTAAAGAAGAAATCTGATGCCCTAACAGCCTTTCAGAACTTCCATAAATATGTTCAAACTCAATTTTCCAAATCCATCAAATCTGTTCAGTCTGACTGGGGAGGTGAGTTCAGATCCTTTACCAACTTTCTTGCTGAAAATGGAATAACACATAGGCTTATCTGTCCACATACACATCACCAGAATGGTGTTGTGGAAAGAAAACACAGGACTATAGTTGAAAAAGGCCTTTCCATTCTTGCTCATTCCTCATTACCTCTAAAATTCTGGGATGCTGCCTTCTCCACCTCAGTTTATCTTATCAATAGAACTCCATCCACTTCCATTGCCAACTCCAGTCCATATTTCCAACTCCATGGAACCAGTCCAGATTACTCTCTTCTAAAAGTGTTTGGTTGTTCTTGCTACCCATTCATTAGACCCTACAACAAACATAAAATGGCCTTTCATTCAGAAGAATGCATCTTTATAGGTTATTCACCTCAGCACAAAGGCTATAAATGTCTCTCCTCTTCTGGCAAAATCTACATCTCTAAGGATGTTATCTTTCATGAGGTAAGATTTCCTTACACTATTCTTTTCCCATCCACCTCTGCTGATTCCAAGTCATCTCAGTCTTCACTTTCTGCCCCCTTAACTGTACTTCATCCTTCTTCTTTCTCTAATGTCTCTTCTTCCCAGATCACTGAACCCCAATCTACTGCTTCTCAAAGTCAAAGTCTGTCCCATACATCTCCTTCCAACTTTCAGGATTCTAACTCTGAACAAATCCATATGTCTCCACCTCAATCTCCAAATAACTCAACCCAGTCTCCACATAACTCAACTCAGTCTCCACACCATATTTCTTCTACAACTTCATCTTCTTCATCTTCTTCTCCTATCCCAACTAACACTCATCCTATGCAAACTAGGGCAAAGTCAGGAATTGTTAAACCTAGATTGAATCCCACCTTACTGTTAGCTCATACTGAGCCTAAATCAGTTAAGCAAGCTTTATCTTCTCCACAATGGTTTTCTGCTATGCAGGCTGAATATGATGCACTGATAGCAAACCATACATGGTCACTTGTTCCTCTGCCACCAAACAAACAAGCTGTTGGATGTAAATGGGTTTTTAGGGTCAAAGAAAATGCTGATGGTTCTCTAAACAAATTCAAAGCTAGACTAGTAGCCAAAGGATTTCATCAAAGATTTGGATTTGATTTTGGAGAAACCTTTTCCCCTGTTGTAAAACCCATTACAATCAGAATATTGCTCACTCTAGCCATCTCTCACAAATGGTCAATTCAACAGCTTGATGTGAACAATGCCTTTTTAAATGGTAATCTAGAGGAAGAGGTCTATATGGTTCAACCTCCAGGCTTTGAAGTCAAGGATAACTCTCTTGTTTGCAAACTGCATAAGTCACTATATGGACTTAAACAGGCCCCCAGAGCTTGGTTTCAAAAGCTAACCTCTGTTCTCTATGCTACTGGATTTAAACAAAGTAAATGTGATCCCTCTCTACTTACCTTTCTACAGTCTGGAGTTCAAATCTACATTCTGATCTATGTAGATGATATCTTGGTCATTGGAAATAATCACACTGCTATTCAACAACTCATTCATAAGCTCCATTCATCCTTTTCTTTGAAACACTTGGGGGAAATTGACTTCTTTCTAGGTATTGAAGTCAGGAGACAAAGTAATGGGAGCTTACATTTATCTCAAACCAAATACATCAGAGATCTTCTACACAAAGCTGGAATGCTTGAATCCAAAGGAGTCAAAACTCCTATGGTTAGTAACTGCAAACTCACCAACATAGGTAGCACTCCTCTACCTGATCCTTCTACCTACAGATCAATTGTTGGGGCCCTACAGTATGCAACTCTCACACGGCCAGAAATTAGCTTTGCAGTTAATAAAGTTTGTCAATTCATGGCCTCACCTCTACAGGATCATTGGCAAGCTGTCAAACACATTCTCAGATATCTCTCTGGTACCATAACCCATGGTATTATTATCAAACCCTTGCCCCTTGCCACTATTCCTTTGCCAATCTCAGCCTTTTGTGATGCTGATTGGGCATCTGATCATGTTGATAGAAGGTCCACTTCTGGATCCTGCATTTTCCTTGGTCCAAACATTATTTCCTGGTGGTCAAAGAAGCAAGTGAGGGTTGCAAGGTCCTCAGCAGAAGCTGAGTATAGAAGCTTGGCTGACACAGTTGCTGAACTTTTATGGATCCAGTCTCTGCTTAAGGAACTTCAAGTTCCTTTCACTATTCCCAAAGTTTACTGTGACAATCTTAGCACAGTACAACTTGCACATAATCCAGTACTTCATTCTCGCATCAAACACATGGAGATTGACCTATTCTTTGTCAGGGAACAAGTTCAGTCTAAACAGCTAGAAGTATACCACATTCCAGCCCCCTATCAAATTGCTGATGTTCTTACAAAACCATTGACTGCCTCATCTTTCCTTGAGCTCAAAACCAAACTTAGTGTGACTGATGTTCCACATCAATCACCCTAAATTTGTGGGGGGAATGTTAGAGATACTATATCTACGAATAATGTAATAAGCCTAGCATTTAGTTAGCCTGTTATAGTTAGTCAAGCTGTTTAGATTCAGTTACAAGTTTGTTATACTACCTCTCTATAAATACTGATGTACTGGTATTATGTGATTAATGAAATCCTTCCACTTCATTCTATACTCTGGCTACTTTTGTAATATATAGTAGTGCTAATCTTCTATTTGTAATACCACCTACACCTCATAAGTTTGATTTCCTAAATCTATTTTACTTTTTGTACTCTGTATCTGATAAAGTTACTACTTATTTTGGTCCTCCAAATTAAGATATTGGAGTTGTTTTCTTTTGACAATTTAACAATATTACATTTTACTTATCCGTTACTCCCTACCCAATGTCAAGCATTCAGAGTTTTAGTGTTTTTTGAAATGTTATAACCCTTTATAATCATATCCCTACCATTATTTTGATCATTTTCTCTTCTATTGCATCATGTAAGGCCAGGAAAGTAAGATTTATGCAACTTTATATCTCTTCTCTTTGAGGCTGATTTTAGGGCTTGTACCTACTATAACCGGCATTTGATGATAACCATTTCCACTGTTTATTTAACGTCGATGTTTTTTAATACAGGCAAATGTGATTCTTAGTTTTTTTTTTGTATTTCTGGTATATATATGGGAACATAAAACTGTCTTTCGTGAATAAAAATTGAGTTCTTATATTGTTAGTGTATTTTCCAGGAAGCTCATAAATCCTGCCTTATCGTCAATGCGCCTTTGCTTTATGGAGCTGCTTGCCAAGTTCCCTTTTCTGTCCTTAAGTATGCAATGACCCTTGATGGTGAAGACATGCCTTAATCATTTTATTATAGTGGCTTTATATTTTGTGGAGCTTAAGTGCATTTCCTAGTGAAACCAAATCTTAGCAAATAACAAATAGGAACTGTAGCTAATTTTTTGTAACGGTCAGGAAAGATCGCTGCCAGTAGTGGACATGCATCTTGGATTAGCAGCATAAAGTCAAGAAGTCGAGTTTTTGAATTGCGAGGACGAAGTGATGCTGTCATTGTTGGAGGAAACACTGTCCGTAAAGATAGTATGCATCCATTTAACCTTTCTCTTCCACTTCGACAGGGACTAAAAGAATGTTATCGACTCTTTAGATCATCATCTCTAGTGGTGATGTGAAAGGTATTCTAGTGCTGCTGCATCTAACACAGTTACACAACTTTGATGTTTAGATCCACACTTGACTGCAAGACATGGAGGTGGCCATGTACCCCAGAGAATTGTGATGTCACAAACTCTATATCTTCCTGAAAAAGCCAATATTTGGGATGTTACTGAAGTACCAACTATAGTTGTGACACAAAGAGGTGCTAGAAGAAGTTTTCAAAAATTCCTCGCCTCCAAAGGCGTTGAAGTAGTTGAGTTTGACATCCTAGACCCAAGAGAGGTTATGGAGTACTTCTATGGTCGTGGTTACCTTTCTGTATTGTGGGAGTGTGGAGGGACATTGGCTGCATCTGCGATTTCATCTGGAGTCATACACAAGGTATATCATCGCATTTTCATTTTAAAGTATTATTTAATCATTGATGAACTTGTTCAGCACTACCTCAGCCCCAGAATAGATCTCGCGTAAAGAAAATAAAAAACAAAGTGTAGGGGAAAGAAAGAGAATATTTTCTCTGAAATTATCCACAACATGTCCATAGTAAAAATTATTTATCCTCTTCAAAGGGTTTTCTTTTCTCCAACTTTGATGCAGGTACATGCATTTGTTGCACCAAAAATTATAGGCGGAAAGAATGCCCCGACTCCGGTTAGCGATCTTGGGATGGTAGAGATGACCCAGGCTTTGGAATTGATCGATGTTTGCTATGAAAAGGTCTACTTGCTGCTATACTTATATTCAGATTATTTATTCGACATGCATGGAGTTTGTAGGAAATCACATAATGCGAATTCGTCTTTTCAATTTAATGAACTTATGTGTGTAATAGTAGTGAATCTTATGGGGGAATTACAAGTTGGTCTAATATTTATGCATGACTAGCCCAAGTACCCAAGAATACTTACTGCTAATATGCCATTAAAAGTTGCGTTATTTGGGGGCTGGGGGGGGGGGGGTGAGAGAGTAAAATATATTACTACCTAATAATTAGGGATTAGATATGATGTGTACCTTTTTATACTTTTATGTGCATGTTTTCCTGCACATACCTTACATGTACTTATGCACCAAAATATAATTAATTATTTAATTATTCATTGGATTAGTTCCACCTTTTGTCCCCCAGGATGCGATTTTTGCCCCTAGCGTTTCAATTACATGTAATGGTTTATAATATTTCCATCCATTTACAATTGGTCCCTCTTGTAGCAATATATTCAAACTTTAATGGAAGGAGTTATGTGGTGCCCAATCAGACCCCTAATCCGATATGGAAGCCATGTTGGATCTAACTGGACTCTAACCTGTAAGACATAGAATGGGTCTGGATAATGGGTATAATCACTCTTCATCATAAATTCATCATTCATATTCATCATCATCTAAGACATTTTAGTTTAGTCAGAGACGACATGGCTTCCACAACTTGCAATAGTTCAAATAAATACTGCATATTTAAATACCATATCCTTGTGATGTAACTTGTAAGGATGTCTGGCTGTCTCTGCCCTTAATTTTAACCATGTAAGTAATATGGCTCAGGAGTGGTAACACCCTTAAGGTGGGGTAAATAAGGTTGCATGCTTTTCTTCAGTATGAATATAAGATTCTTTGGATACTCTTGCCACATGCTCACTTGCTAAAGATGTGATTTGCAGATTGGACCCGACATGCTGGTTAGTGGATTTCTTCAGCCAGTTCCAGACCTCACTCCTGTTATTCCATCTTTAGAAGAAACTTCTGAAATTGATCCTACCATTTCTCCTTTTGAGTCAAGCATCATATTCTTTTATAAAACATGGGAACAATATGGTTTCTTTTCAAACTTCTCTAGCCACCCAATTCAAATGGCTGATGAAACTGGAAATATGGTCACCTGGTCCACTGTAGAACATTATTACCAGGTAACATGATTATAAGCTTAGAGTCTCCTTCAATTGCTCTATATTTTATGACCTTCCTTAGAGGCTTTGGTCAATTTGTAGGCACAGAAATTTACTGGGGTGGTTGATCATGTTGCTCAAAAGTGCATTGAAGATATAAAAAATGTAGAGAGTCCCGAGGAAGCTGCACGGATTGGTAGGAGATTACAGAGGCAACGGCCTGATCTGGTACAAATTTATATACTGTGTTATGCCTATATGTAGGCTCAACGGATTGGTAAGAACTAGGAATGTAGGTTGCCACCTTCACCACCACCTCAATCTCAAGTTGTTGGTATCAGCTGTATGAACTATGGAGTTTACACTTTACGTATAAGTCGATGCAAAAACAGTAGCAGTGAAGTTTTACGTTCAATTTCCTTACCCCGACCCCACCCCCACCCACCATCTTACCCCTAGCCATCCCCCATCCATGATCCATCCATCCATCCATTTATTTATCACTGGAACTCTGGAAGTGTTATAAAGCCCAATTAAAAATTTATAGGCTCAACATTTAAAAACAACTAGAATATTGACAAGTTTATCTTTTGCTTTCATGGTTTATTTGTTAGCCGATGAGTGGTTAACCAAGAATTTGGTTAACCGATACATTGTTATTTAATGCTATGATAAGAGTAACGGTATTGAAAGTTTAATAACTTATACCTCTGTTAACCAAAAATTGGTTAACCGAAAATATCATGAGTCTGTGACAGGCTGAGGTAGTGTTTTTATAGTTATATTTCATAGTTATATTTCATTCGGAGATTGATATTGTAAAATCATTATGATGGCACATGCGTACATGACCATAAGCAATGGGCTGGGATGCATTGCAGGAGTGCCTTGATTTTCTGGATTTTAAAGCACTCTTTACCAGTTCAATGTATTTAATTAATCATAGCACCATTTTTCTAGTGAAACTTGGCAAAATATTTTGAAGGAATTAGAGGTCTGGTCAGATAGTCTGTGTGTTGACTATTCAAAAGTTGTCTTTGAGCTTCGTTTGTTTGGTTGAGGGATTTTGGGGGCGAGAGGATGGAATGCTTAATTTTTTGCTACAAAATTATCTTTAAGTGTTAGTTATAGACGACAACAACAACCCCATCCAAAGTGTTAGTTATAGACTAGAAGTAACTATATTACTAGTGAATCATGTAATTCTATAGGATGCATCCCTTTTAAACGAATGTAATAATTTAGAAAATTAGGATGCATCCCTCCCCTCCCGTTCAATAGATCTGAACCAAACAAGTACTTAAAGTTGATTCTAAGTCGAGTATTCATCAATTCATGTTCTTCCTTCAGCTATCTTAGTATGTACATGCAGGTAAGATCAGACTGGAAGTCCATAAAGGTCGATGTCATGTACAAGGCTCTGAAATGCAAGTTCACAACATACCCTCATCTAAACTCTTTGCTGGTTGCAACAGCAGGATCGGTGCTTGTAGAAGCTTCACCTCATGATCTCTTCTGGGGAGGAGGCCGGGATGGAGAAGGTCTAAACTATCTTGGCAGACTGCTTATGCAGCTTAGATCTGAGCTTTTAGACAACAGCCCAGCTTCTCATGAAAACTCAGTTGATCATCATCGACCAGTTGTGTAAAAAAAACCTCAGGTACATATTTACATGACGACTCATCAATCCTTGTCATGCTTATTTCGGAATTTTGTTTTACTCTAGCTTTGTTTTATTTTGTTCTTGTATTCGATTTTTGGACAGGGGTATGCCCCGTTGACATTGTACTATTTTTGGATGATTTCAACATGTACATTTTACCCGTTGTCATGCTTATTTCGGATTGAAGAAAAAATCTTTGTCGTTATGTTTTATACTTTTATTTGATCTCAATTGACGAAATTAATAAACACAAGGAAATTCATGTCTTTGTGCTGTGTTGTTGACATTCGTATTTGCATGTGTTGTGTTGCGATTGTCATGGTTTTAATAAATCCAGGTAGTGTATTAGTGGTAGAAATAGATTATCTTGCCCACTACAATTTTGCCCCTAGTGCAGATTGATTGAAGCAAAGTACTTTTGGCATCACATTAATCTCTTCCATCAATTCTTCACACGCAGTTTGAGTTACACATGAATCATGTGCAGAAGATCATCAATTCCTATAGATCATTTGTGTTTTATTTTCCCACAAGATGGTACAACTGCAATTTTTTCACAGCTGGTGGAAAACAAAAAAGAAACATAGTCTAAATTTAAAATCAATCGTCTAGGAAAACTTTCTTCATCTCCAGTTACAATCACCTACTTTTCTTGGTTGGTTTAGGAGGAAGTGTTCCAAAAACAATGTCCCAGAAAGCGGAAGTGATTCCAAAGCCTTTGTCCTGGATCTTGAAGTGATGATCCATGTGGTATCTCTACCATAGACAAACAACTCTCCATTAAAATAATAACCCGAAAGATTGTTTTAAAGAGTTTAAAAATAATAAGACACTCTTCCAAAATCATACCTTCAGGGAATGGGACACCCCAGTTAGTGGTTTTCCATGGTGCAGGTAGTAATGTGTGCAGTCATAGATAACATACCCCAACAACACTCCTCCATGAATGGCAGGAGCGTAAACCAGAGGAGTTAGAAGCTTAATCACATTCCCCACCTAAAGTCATTAATTAAAACGGAAAGAATCGCAAAAGTTTGAAGCGTGCTTTCAATTTGTTTCTGGAGTTGAAATCGAAGTGAGTCAAACTTACAAGTACAATGATAAACATGGAAGCTGCAGGGGGGAAGACCAGCCTCATTCTGTCCATGGGGTGCTTATGATGGCAACCATGAAACAGATAGTGCAATGTGTTTCCCCTGTATTCATATTTATCAAGCTATTAATGCCATTTCGTGCAAAATGCACATCCCACTTTTGTTTCATCATGGTGCACTATTGTGTTCAAGTGGTTCACTTCTTCACGAGGACAGAAAACTTATTTACTACGAAAATGTCACTGTGTTTTTATCTAGTTTGTTCATTTGTTGTGTTATAGCATACTTAAAGCCCTTAGATTTCAATTCCCATACATTAGATTCATTCCTAAGAACATTCTTATGTGCCTGTTCGATCATAAGTGTAAGGCTCTGATTTTCTACAATGAAAGTGTAGTGAATAAAAAAGTAAAAGGATAACTAGAAAAAACACATATTAGATTGTAGGTATTAAAATTGTAAAGAATCACATCAATGCCAACATCTAAGCCTTTAGGGTTATGAGTTATGACCCTATGGACCCATAAGAAAGTTTCTAGCTCTCATTTAGGTCAGTTCTCATTTGATACCGATGTTGTGTGTGTGTTTGTTTGTCTTGATTGCTCCTAATGTTTTTCGTCCTGTCTATCCTTCAATTAAGACCCAACAAAGACTGCTTTGGTGACAGGCCATAGTTTATCTCTTATAGGCCATCTGGAGCCTTTTAGATCCCTTTTTAACACATGATTCCTGGGAAATTTTCTGGAGCCTTATATGACTTCACTTAGAGTCAAACAGCATATGTGGCTTCACACAAATCACTCATTTTTAGAATGAGATCCTCCACTATAAATTCACTATAAAAACAAATTACTATTGTGAAGCCACATAGACTATATGACTCCACAGTGGAGTCATATCTCCATAATTTTTTTGCATGATTCCTTGTTAAGTCATCTCACAATATAATATACTAGTCATCATGGAGTTACTTCATTTATCATGTTCTCATGTGAAATCAATCATGTTATTGCTTCAATGAACAAATATATGTCCTGGACTCCTGGTAAGTTTTTAAAAAATCCACCAAGGTTCAATGTTGGTTTGTTTTAATAAGTTAGCATCATATTTGACTTTTTCGGTTGGAATCACAAGTCTTAATATTACTCTCTCATTTTTTGCACAAGGCTTACCAATATCCCCGGGGTTTCTTGTGGAAGAGAAAGCGGTGAAGAGAGTATTCCAGCAATGTCCAGATAGCTAAGCCGACAAGTAGAGTAGCAACCAACTGAGGAGCAGAGAGTCCCCTGTTTACAGAAGTTGAAGCCAGCCACCATACAACTGGTAGCCATATGGTTGGAATTGCCCACCATGGTGTACGAGTCAACAACTGTGTGTATCATCATTAATTCAGTTAGTGTAAACATTCATCATCAGCTCACATTGGTGCGTTTTCTGTTCAACATTCAATCTTTCAGGGAAAGCACATCTAGGGAGCGGGTGATTTAGAGATAAAATGGCATACAGTTTGTATTGCAATATCAATATCTAAAACAATCTTGCTATTAGGAAAGTGATTCGTGAATAAAAACCCAACTATGTATTAGTCATGGAGTTCTAGAATAAAAATGACTCAAGGAAAGCTAAAGATAATGACTTTGACTGCTTGATTTCAAAAAAAAAAAAAAAAACTATGACTGCTTCAAAATTTCAAGAAGTGATTGTATGTTTCTTTTTAAGTTTTAACGCATCACGTCCAACATATATGTGACACAACAGGGCGACACATCCCAACATGTCACTATGATAAGGGGTGGATTTGGTACCGGACTGGTAAAGAACCGAGCCTGAGGTAAGAGTTTTGGTTCTGGATCATAACTAGTCTCTAGAGCCACTTAAAACCAGTTCTGAGTCCCCCAAACTAAGAGTGGGACCGACTGGCCTGATTTGATCATGATTTTCTTATTATTTTATATAAATAAGTTAAAAATTGGAACTTGTTTCGAAGTGCAATTAGTTTACCGGGTTAAATCAGCCCTGGCCTACCCCTAAATGTGGTCGGTTGCAAAGGTTTTCGATGACTTTTGGCAAATGGCAATTGTTTGGGTGGTTCACGGCTGACTAGTTCATGTGGGGGTATTTAGCCAATTTAGAATAGGTTAAAGTCACACTTTCCATCCATGCAAACTGTACCGTTTTATTTTTGGCTGAAACTCCCTCCAACCCCTCCTCATCTCTACCACTCATAACTGTTGTAGTGTGGGTAGAATTTAGCTGTACATTTTTTATCCATTTTGATTTAATACAATTACAAAATACACAACTTTAAGCCTTTAAGGCATTCATATGTGATAAATATTTATTTGAGCATTGAAAGTTAGATATCTTTTCACAGCTCAATAAATACTTGCACATATGAATATAGCTTGGAATGTATCAAAGAAATGTCTTTCTATCCTTATTCTAAAATAGTAGGCTAAGTTGTACTTATGTCATATTAATTACCTCCAAAAGATCATTTTTGAAGAACCTTGGCCCCTCTTTGCCTACTATTGGTTGATGGACCCACTCATCGTATGCATCTCCTAGATGGCCAACCTATATAAGTTCCTTTCTAATTATGGCTTCAATTGCATTAAAATAAAGAAACATATAGCATCTTGTGTTTTTCATGGGGCAAACTGAAATGGTGAGATATTATCACCTGGAAAACCAGTGGCTTGCTTAAATCCACTGTGTAGCCCTGTTTGGCCATCTTGGAACCTGTTTTTACATTACATGGTTTAAAGAAGGATTAATTTATTTAATATAATGAGACAAAATTAAAATCAACTATAATTACTTCTCGAGTAATTAATTTTAAAGTGTTTGAGGAATTCTTGAATTTCCCTTTGATAAATAGGTGTGATTGTTTTAATATTAAAACACTTTCTTAAGAAATATAAACATGAGATATACCGCACATGAATACAACTAAAATCATAGTGACGAATTCAATATACAGTCATATTTTTTCATGTTGGAATGTGCTCAATTTTGTTGGCCTGATTTATTGTAGGTTTAATTTGATCTTATTGGCTTTTGTGTGATGTGATGTATATGTCAAGTAATTATAATCTTGTAGTATTGTATATTTCAATTGTAATTTGAAATATCTTCTTGATGTTTCAATCCATCTAATCTAGTTCTTGAATTTAGGGATGGCAACGGGGCTAGTATATGATGAACTTGTGAAAATGTTGATATATTGTGTAGCCTAAAGTGTTGATAAATCTTTAACACTATTATCTATGTAGTAATATACTTTCGTATTTTCTTTCACAATAATATACGGAGTACTTCTTATTAATTTGTAATGAAATAATTAAACTATACAATTTAATATAAACACAATTTGATAATATTTGAGATATATATCGTACTCAAAATTTACACAACTTTTTACCATATAATTTCTAGATTTTATTATTGATTAGCATGAGACCTACTAAAAATTTATGACGTCATTGCATAAATACATGGTACATCTATCCAAAAAGATTAGCACCTGCGAAATCAAAACAATTCTAACTAAAATTGTTCTGATATTTAATTTTACCTTATATTTTTTAAAGATATTACTTTAGTTCTTTAAGTTTACATATGCTCAATTATTAATTAATAATTGATGAAACTTTTTGAGCATCTTATTCACCAAGTCTAGTTTACTCATACCAAATTTCAGCTAAAAATTCAATCGGGAATACATTCAAATAAATTCTTGAAGATAACTGCGCATTTTTGTGTTCTCGAATTAATTTGAATGCGCTCCCGATTAAATTTTTAGCTGAAATTTGGTATGAGTAAACTAGACTTGATGAATAAGATGCTCAAAAAATTTCATTAAAAAATTCCACCGGGAACCGCCCCAAATCGCGACGACTGGACAGAGTCTCCTATAGAAGGACTTAATTGACTTTTTTATGAAAATTCGAGGACCTATTTGACAATTTTCCCTTATTAATTTGATATACGTACAATAGAAATAAATAAGCAAATAATTATGAATACGAAAATGAAAAGTACGATATGAAGGAATTAGGAAAACATATAGTTTATTACCGAGATAGAGCATATTCTGTTTTTATCCTAAATCATAATATGTTGTATGCAAGATGTTGGTACTGGGAAAAGTTAATAATAATTGTAACTAATCCGTGACAATTGATTTTAGGATTTGAGGTATGACAATATCCTTTTATGTGGATGAATAGACGAATAATGTCGAGGTGATGCTTTATGTAAAAAAAGTTTTGGCCACATAGATAATTGTGGGATAAATGGGTGATGAGGCTTTATCTTATTTATATAGGAGTGGTGCAAAATCATTTGGAAAAACTAAGGTCTTCACCTGCTTACCCACTAAATTAAAGGTTGGGAAAGTCGATCATCACAAAATTAGAATAGAGTTTTTGTGAACTTCTGAATGATCTACTTGTGCACATAGACCACTGGACAGTGTGTATATAAAATATGTATAAATTTCATGTACAAGTAGCTTTTCACAATGATATAGTCATATTTACTTTTGGCCATCTTAAATATATGCCATGTTTTATATATTTCCAAAAGAATAATACTCCATGTTTTTAAACTTTTAGCACCTACAAAACCAAACTTTCGCCTAAGATCGAGTTGTTTGTTGAATGACAGAGATTGATTGATACATGTGACGACTATAATGTTTTTTTTAGTTCATAGAGGCCGATTGATATTTGTCACTAAATTTGAGCGTAGTCATGTTTGTTAAATTCTACAATATAGTCTTTTTATAACCTTGAAATTAAATGAGCCACCTAATTCAATTGAAAACAATAAAATTTTGGTTGAAGCATTTAAAGTGACTAAATCTACTCAATTAAAAAACATTATTTCAAAATCTTTTATTAATAAAATGAAGAAAAATTAAATGAAGCAAATTTTAAAATGATTCTCTACAATAATTAGGGGTGGGCAAAAAATACCGAACCGGCATGCTACCGAACCGGGCCGATATGGTACCGTACCGAATAACGGGGTTCCAAATGGTTCTCGAAATTTTTGTCCCGAACCGGACCGTACCGGTTCCAAACCATGCCATGACCGGTTCTCGTAAAATGAGAATCGGTACCGGACCGAACCGGACCGAATTAGTATTTATATAATTAATACTCCCTCCGTCCCGTAATTAAGTTCCTACTTTCCTTTTTGGGATGGTTCATATTAAAGTTCCTACTTCAAACTTTTCCTTATTTGACAAATGATTTACACCAAAACAGTGCCAAACAGTGTTCAAACAGTGCACTCCACAGTAAAGTCAAATTTATTTCTTAATATGTGTGAAGTCAAACCAGGAACTTAATTAAGAACTGGAGGGAGTAATTTATAATTATTGTATATGTATATAATTTGATGACTCCTTCCAGTTTACACTTTGTCACTTTGTATACATTTATAATATTTACTAATTTGTTGTATGTGCCTGCAGGGGAAGATCTTCATAGGGTGAAGCCCAGCCCAATTTGTCTTACTTTTTACTCCGTATTTATATGTTTAGCCCATCTAAAAAATACTCAAAAGTCAAACAGTTTGCTGACTCAAACCCGCTTGCCCAAAAGTCTTACATTTGTCGAAAATTTGTGTGGATTTTTGGATTACGACTAAACTTTATTTTGTCAAAAAAGTGACATTGTTTGGTATTGGTATGGCATGGTACCGTACCGTTTGAAATTGGAACCGTACCGAACGGGTTTGGGTCTAAAACCGAACCGAACCGTTTCAAAAGTAACAGTCCGGGTACGGGTTTTGTCAAATACCGGACCGAACCGGACCGTGCCCACCCCTAACAATAATATTAGTCAATTAAATGAAAAAAGCAACTCCAACCACATTTATTTTGATTATTTTTCAATTCAGAGCGTGAAATGAAAAGTGAAGCGTTTGGACAGTTACCCTTTCTTTGAATTGGGTGTGATTAGTTGTGAGGTATTACTTTCCAAGGCTTATCTAATGCGTGTGATTGTCTTAATATTGAAACACTTTCTTAAAAATATAAACATGAGATATACTGCACCTGAATATAACTAAAATCAAAATGACGAATTCAATATACATGAGGTGTTTAATCACATTATTTCATGCTGGAATGCACTCAATTTTGTTGGCCTGATTTATTTCAGGTTTAATTTGTTTAAATTTGGTCTTATTGGATTTTGTGTGGTGTGATGTAAATGTCAAGTAATTATAAATCTGTAGTATTGTATATTTCAATTGTAATTAATTTGAGATGTCTTTTTGATGTTTCGATTCATTTATTCTCGTGCTTGAATTTGGTTGGGTATAGGGTTAGTTCAAACTCTAATATTGCTTTTTCATCCCATATGATAGTCATACTTGCTCAAATATGATATAATGTAATTTGTCCGAGTGTAATTTGCCATATTTAATTTTTTGAAAAATGAAACGGTAATATGACTTTATCTACACTTTTTCTTCGCATACAACAAATCAAATTAAGAAAATTTAAACGAGTAGATTTATGGAGCGTGATGAATGATTAAAGTTCATTCATATAAAATATTTTGAAAATGTCACCATTTATCACCCCAACATGTTCCTTATTGAACATGCTAGCGTGCTCAATATATTTTATCATTCTAAACTCCTATAAACATTTATAAAACACTTAGTATCCTTTTTATTTAATGTAAGAAAATGTTATAGAAAAGTCCAGTAATTTGCAATTATGCACACTTTCATTTCTCATTCCTATAAAATAGCTAAATAAGACTAATTAGGGCAGAGATTCTTCTTCGTTTTGAAATTGGGGCAGAGCTAGTATATGATGAACTCGTGAAAGTGTTGATATATGGTCTATACTTCATTGATTCAAAATATTTATCACTATTACATATGTAGTAATATTCTTCATATTTTCTCTGAAAATAAATACACTTCTTATCTATTTACAATTAATAATTTGATAATATTTGAGATATATATCTTTATCAAAATTTTACATACCTTTTTACTATAGAATTTCTAAACTTTATTATTAATCAGTTTGAGACCTACTAAAAATTCATGACGTCATTGCATAAATTCATTCTACATCTACCTAGAATGATTAACGCCTGCAAAATCAAAATAATGCTAGCTAAAACTGTTCTGATATTTAATTTTACCTTATATTGTTTTTAAGGAATTTTACCTTATATTGTTAAATGCATTACTTTTGTTTTTTAAGTTTAAATATGCTCAATTATTAATTGACATACGTACAATCGTAACACATAATTAAGTAAATAATTATGAATATGGAAAGTATGGTATAAAGGACTTAGAGCATCTCCAATGCTATAACGTGCACAGTGCATATGTGGCATGAGAGAGATAGAGACAAAAGATTGATTGTAAGACATTTCTCTCTCCGTCTTTCCACGGTTTTTTGTGTTTTTGGTAAGTTTTTCTCTGCAATGTCAATCACAGTGTCTACATCTAGACGTTGTGCTTGACATTGTGAAGAAAAACTTACCAAAATGATATAAATCCTTCAAATAAGGAGAGATATATTTTATTTATTATTTTTTGATTGGCTATCTATCATGCCACGTATGCACCGTTAACGTTTTAGCATTGGAGATGCTCTTAGGAATATATAGAGCTTATTATCGAGGTTTGAGCATATTCTTTGTTTATCCGAAATCCTAATATGCTATATGAATGATTTTGGTGCTGGGAAAGTTAAGAATAATTGTACACTAACCTGTGACAATTGCTTTTAGGATTTGAGGTATGTCAACGTCCTTTTTATGTGGATGAATAGACGAATAATGTTGAGATGATGCTTTATATATAAAAAAGTTTTGGCCATGGAAATAATTGTGGGATAAATGAGTGATGAGTTTTTTTTTATATACGGGTGATGTGAAATCATTTGTAAAAACTCAGGCAATCCCTTGCTTACCTATTTAACGAAAGGTTAGGAAAGTCGATCATCATAATATTCGACTAGAGTTGTTGTCAGGGGTGTATATAAAATGTGTACAAATTTCTTATATGAGTAGCTTTTTTATAATGATATAGTCATATGGATTTTCGACCATCTTAAAGATGCTCCATATTCTGTTTCTAAAACAAAAATACAACATGTTTTTAAATTTTTTGGCACCTACAAAATCAAACTTTTCACATGAGAACGAGTTGTTTGTTAAATGACAAAGATTGATTCATTTACATGTGTCATGACCATAATGTTTTTGTTAGTTCACAGAGCTAGGCTTGATTGATATGTGTCACCAAATTTAAGCATAATCAAACGTGTTAAATTCTATAATATCCGGTCTCTTCATAACCTTGAAATGAATTGAGCTGCCTAAATCAATTGAAGGTAATGAAATGTTGGTTGAGTCATTTAAATTGACCAAACCTACTCAATTAAAAGACACTGTTTAACAATCATTTTTGTAATAAATAAAGATATATTACATGAACCGTAGTTTTAAATAATTTTTTTTATAGTAACTTTGGTCAATTCAGTCGGAAAAACAATTTTCAACCTTATTTATTTTGATTATTTTTTAATTCAAAGAGCGAAATCAAAAGTGAAGTGTTTGGACTTTTACCATTTGTTTGATTTTTGAATTGGGTATGATTAGTTATGAGGTAGTACTTTCAAATTTCAAGGCTTGTCTGGTGCATGAATCAATGTTGAATACGCACAACTGATTAGTTTGTTATACGATTTCGGTGCTATCTTCTTGTGGAAGGGGTATCTTTTGTATACTCGACACTCAAATTAGAAGTGAGAATCGATCACTTGATTTCCTTAATGTTTGTAGACAAACTCATATACCCGTTGATTATATCGGTAGTACTAACTACTTTATACCTTGAATATCTATATGCTCATCCAAACTAATATATACAACATGAGCAATGTTTAATGGTCAACAAATATTGAGCACATCGTCTCTTGGTTATGGACTTTGGTGCCTGATTTCCTCTGTAGAGTATACCTGATTCGCCGTGTATATATTATCTCTCGTGTTGTGATTTCATGAGAGAAGCATCATTTGCACACTCAAACACTCAAATCTCGAGTCAAGCAGTTTTTATTGACCCCTAAATTGGAATCAATGCTTGTTGATAGATGTACAGTGGATACAATGGAAAATAATGAACCTCTGAGAGCATTGGAGAACATAAGGTGAGTGTCGAGCCTTTTTTGAGTAAGTATATCTGTGTATCACTTGATATTTGTATATTAAAGTTGTGAAGATTTTATTACACTTTTATGTTGTGACCACCTATTTTAACTAATGAAGATTCCACCATACAAAAAATAATAATAATGGGCTCGAGTGAGATACCATGCCTCGCTATATTGAAAATGTAACTCATGTCCCCAATCCTAGTTGAATATCAAATTAGCACTCCAAGCCACATTTGTGTTATCATATTTTTGAATATTTTAAACTTGCATAATTTAATTCAATGATTGCATACTTGATACTTGTTTGAACTATGATACAATTGTAAACCTCAAAACAATCCAAATCATATTTTTTTAATTGTAAATATCAAACATGTAACTAATGATGGCATGTCATGCATGAACTTTTGCAGACTTACCGGGATATTCAATAAGATATAGCTTTTGTACAAATCATTTATATTCATGTAGTTTGTGTATTTTGAACTTTGAATATGCAATCAGATTAGTCTGTGTTTAATATTACTTTTATTTAATGAACATTTCAAAAATTCTATACTCGATGAATATTAAAAAAAAAGAATCTGAAAAGAGTCTTATAAACAATTAAAAGGATCATACTAGAACTGAATAACTTTTGAAAGTCGAACGAAATTATCCTTATCATACTAGATAAAATAAATCCGCTCACACCTCCGATTAGTACAAAGATTTTGGTCAAACCCATTGTTCATATAGAACGTGTTTGGCATTTAGTTGTCAACGAATTATGTTAGTGAGTTGTCATTAGCGGATTCAGTTGGCGGATTACAAAAAGATGTTTGATAATTTAGCTGCTTACACACAACAATCAATTAAAACAACATATATTAAAATGCTAACCTAAAACATTGGTATTTATAGTGTTTTTATTTCGTAAAAAGCGTAGATTCAAACAACTATTTACAAAACGTGGTTTTTGTATAGTCAAACATGATTTTTTCTTTTCGCTTAGGAAAAATTGAAAATAATAATCCCAACTATTGCCGGTCCGCTGATAATAATCTCAACTATTGATTATTTTTGTATAATCCTAACTATATGGACCATCCGCCAATAATGGTTCATGACCATATATTACCTACTATAACAAGTGAGTTTTAAATAGAAATTAAGCATAAAAATCAAAAGTTAAGATTATTTATAAGGATTACTTGCTATATCTCTTCTCATCTACTTTAAAACTACAAGAATTTATTTATAGAGACCATTATTGGCGGAAGTTCCCTAAAATTGAGATTATTCTGAAATAATCGATAGCTGGAATTATTATGTGTGGACCGTCAATAATTGGAATTATTACTATCAATTTTTCCTTTCACTTATTCAAACATCATATTTAATTTTCATTTTTTTGATAATTTTCCAAACACCCCATAAGTCCATAACCATATACGGAGTACGACGTACTACACAAAGGGACCCGATTAAGCCCAAACAGAGACTATTTTGTGGTAATTACCCGAATAGACTACTTTTATCCACCACATATCATTTATGTCTCCCCCACTTTCTCTTTTCACTTTTAAACTTTCCAAATTTCAATTAGGTTTTATAATTTCACTTTTAAACATATATTCTCATCGGCACTAATATCCTAGAGATGCAGAGAGTTCCTTCATCGCATCAACCATCACTTTCGATTGAACAAAATTTTGTTAATCGGAGAACGAGAACTTGGGTGCCAGCGAGATCTCGGTTCAACGATTCACACCACCGGATCCGCGAATATGTTCTACACTTTCGGCGATGGGGCGCTCACAGCCGTGACTGGGATTCGTCGTCGATGTGTTGCCCGTCTTCCAGAGAGTTGTCCGACATCCATGACAGGCCGGTGGTCTCCGGGCTGGGAAGTGAGCTATCTCCTATACAGAGCAGTGAGCAGAGAAGAAGATTACAGAGTAGATATGCCACAAAGTCAGATTGCTTTCTCGACTACCTCCCTTGCCGATTAGGCTAGACGGTAGAGATGTAGAATGAGTTCTACCAGGTTGAGAGCCTCCATTCACCAGCGAGGATGAAAAGAAGAATACCTAAAATTGAACTTGCTCAACTCTTCAAATTCATTTAGGAGATTGACCTGCCAAATTACTTTCATCTTGATTTCTAATTCCGCTTCGGCTCCTAATGTGGCAAAGGAAAACCTACTTTTGAGGTAAGTAATCTCCTCTTTTGGATCTTTCTGTATTTACTGTCAATTTTAACATTCTTGAAAATCATGTCTAAGACACTAATTTTGACCTTGCGTTCTCTAGTTGTGCCTTTGAAGAGTAAATTGAAATCATGTCTAAGACACTATAAAATAGTTGTTCATATAAGTCTCTTCACACCTCCTTACTGATCAAATCATTTTCATTCTAAGTACACGTGTTAGTTATTTTGAAATGTCAGGGTATTCATAAATGAAAAACTGTGTACGAACCCTAATTTAATGATATTCAATCTTCTAAAGTGTAATGGTTGTGGTCAAAGCAATTCAAAAGGGTAAATTGTTAAAGTTCTGTCTTCTGCTTACTCATTTTTTAAGCAAGTATAATATGAATCCTGATATTACAACATGCTCTCTTTTATAGCAGGTATTATATCCCAAAAGAAGGATGTGCACATACTAGATATTTGAATAACCAGTGAGGTGGTCATATGCATAGAAGATCCTATGGACAGAGCACATGAGTGTATATATTAGTGTTGTTACTTGTAATTATTAGCATTAACTTGGTTTGATATAAATAGATCGTTCCTTAATCTGAAGTATTATAATAACTTCACTATGATCTGGTGTTGTTGCAACAAACTATTAAGACAATGGCATTAGGATGGAGAGATGATATTGAGTACAACTCCATTGTTGACATTTCCTGTCGCTGATGGTACTATTGTCCAGGCAGTTGGGCAAGATACATTTTATGCTTCTTTGAACGTTCCTCTCCCTTCTCATGTGCAAATGGCAGATCCGGAGAAGAAAAACAGTTTCTGGTGCATGAACAAATTGTGTGGCAGTACTATGCTAGAGAGGGCATGTTTGGGCAATCGAGTCTGGGAAGGATCACCAGCCCAGGTGGATACATTACCCCTTGCCAGAAACCAATGATGTCTTATGGAATGCCATCAGTAAATGGCTTGGGAGTACCACCTGCTGGGTATTACCCCACCCCATACTGATTTTATGAGCTTCTATATAGTAGCATTAGTTTTTTTTAACACTTGCTCTGTTTTTGAATAATATTATCCCGTTAGTTTTTTTTTTTAAATAAAAAAGAGCAAGTAAAAAATGGAGGGATGACATTATTATTGGTGACTTCATCAGTTTCTTGTACTTTAGTATAAATTTAATTATAGCTTTGACAATAAATGCTGACAAATAACTAGCACTATATTTATTTATCACACACTTGTGAATTATAATTATATTGATTATGTTAATTGTAGGGTGTTGCATTTTGTTTCATCATGTTATATTTTGTTACATTATGTTGTTTTTTATTGCATCATATTGCTTTATTATTTTGTTTCTTTTTGTTGCGTTGTGTTGATTTTTGTTGCATCGTGTTGCTTTTTGTTGCATGTTGTGTTTATGTTGTATATAATTATGAATTTGCTACTTGTCATTTATTTAAATTTTTACTTCTCTTTGCTACTTATTTAGAATAACAAAGTCATATATAAATTTATGTACAATCACGTGTAATGAGAAATTTGAATTTATGAATATAAAAATTTGTTGTTCGTTGTTGCATCGTGTTGCGTTTTGTTGCACCATGTTGTTTATAATTTTAAATTTGTTATTTGACATTTATTTAGATTTTTACTTCTCTTTGCTACTTATTTATAATAAAAATGACATACGGAGTATATAAATTTATGTTCAAACACCTGAAATGAGAAATTTGAATTTATGAATATAAAAATTTGTTGTTCGTTGTTGCATCGTGTTGCGTTTTGTTGCACCATGTTGTTTATAATTTTAAATTTGTTATTTGACATTTATTTAGATTTTTACTTCTCTTTGCTACTTATTTATAATAAAAATGACATATATAAATTTATGTTCAAACACCTAAAATGAGAAATTTGAATTTATGAATATAAAAATAGAAAAAGCACAAATAAACAATAAAAAACAACAAAAATTAAAATTACCAACAAAATGAAACACAAACAAACAATAGGTAACAAAACTAACAATAAAATGATACTAAATTGGGTTACACAATTTATATATATTGTTTTAATATCAAATTTTATTTTTTATATTTTACTTTAATCTATGACATTTTTTATTTTAGAATTTTTATATTTTCTACGCTTTCTTTTACAACTAAAGATTTGACATTTTTTATTTTCAATTTTGTTTTTAAATTTTATTCTCTTCTACGCTTTCTTCTATAATTAAATTTTCTAATTTTTTAAAAATATGAAGAATTTCAATTTCAAGTTTTATATTTATTCAGTTTTTTATATATTTAACTTTGCGTGTGTTTGTATTCTGGTTCTAAAAAATCTCACTCTTTCATAAAAAATTGTAAAATTTTCATATTTTTTTGTAGTTAAAAACACTTTTTTTTCTTATTCTTTATAACGTTTCTATATTTTTCAGGGATTTAGATTTTTTAACTATTTTTAAATTTTTATTACTCTTCTTACTTTTGTTTTATATTTTTTAACAGATTTAAATATTTATAAAAAAGTATATTAAGCATTTTATAATAAAATTCATTACTAAAAACATAAGTTGTATTTTCTACAGCTTTTCCCACATTGTACAATATTTTAAGCTCTTGTATTTTTACTTTTGAGTTATGTATTTTCAAAGACTCTTTACGTTTTTTTCAATTTCTAATTTTCTTAAATTAAAATATTTCTCAATATTTTTAAATTTAAGCATCAACTTTTCAATTTTGATTACTTTATGCATTTTTTGATGTTCTTAACTTTTTAATATATGTTTTTTTTTCTTTTGAAAATATAATATATCTTATTATTTTTCTAATAATTTATGACTTTATCACATATTCACTTTACTATTAATACGTATATTGGAAGCATACTATACGTTACGTGCTAGCTACTGGCCAAAAAAGAAAAATCGGTTAGCAACGTGAACGGTACTCTCAGGTGGTCAAGCGAATGGCTATTTGTGAAAAGAAAAGGGAAGTGAGTCTATTTTTGAAAAAAAGGTTTACGAGTGATAGAAGTGATATTTTTTTGCTTTTTAATCTATTTGTGAAATTTTCCCGACTATTTTCACTTGCTCTTAAGCCCTAGAGCCACAACCCCTGTTTTAGACTTTCAGGTAAATATGCATTTCGCGCGCAGCTGTCCATTTCCTTCCAGCAGCTCACTGAACTACTGAAGGCCTGAAAGGACTGGGAATAACGCGCGGTACTACTGATATGCTTCACCTTCATAATCGCGGAGGGTTCTTCTTGCACGGCCTGCGTACCTGTACCTGTAAACTGAACAATTTTCTGATGACAATGGCGTCCTCCAAGCACCTGGTCCATACTTCAATGAGAACTCCTTTCAAGGCAGCGCCAAAGGCCGCTTCAAATTCCACAACACTGTCAGCTCCTTCCCGCCTGCTCCCAACTCATAGCCCCAGAATCACCTTCTCTGCATCTTCGTATAAGCAAATCTCTCCCATTTGCCAGGCGTCCCGTCTGTCAGACACCGTCTATCCCGATTCTCCTCCACCAGGTTTTTTTTACACTGCCGTGCTTGAAATTTGTGTAAATGGGTACTAGTTTTGATGTATTGTTATTTAAGTTGATTTTGGATGGATTTTTTTTAGTTTCCCTGGAAGATAGCCAACAGTTGAAGTACTCACGCTTGAGCGGTAAACTGAAGGAGATTGGAATAGATTTTGGTTCATGTCTCCCTGGACAGTACAATAAGATGCATTGTCCATCGGTAATGGCTTGAGACTGCCATTAACTCTGTTATCCGAGCATTCCATTAGTTTCAATATTTGCAATAATATATTTCCAAAAATTATCCCTATATGTTTTGGTAGAGGTGGAATTTGACAGCAGGTTTCAAATTTTCCATTTAAAAGAACCATGTGGTGTTACCATTTTCCATGCAGTTTCAACTTGCAAGAGGTTCATTTTCTTTAGAAGTGACTAAATACAAACATGTCCCACCACACAGAACATAGTATTATTGCTCAGCACAAGGGTTTAGCAATTAATTATTTATCTATCTTTAAAATGGATTGATTAGAAACATACCCTACCATGTTATATAGGTTGCTGCTTGAGCTTTGGAAGAGGGCTATACCTTTTGATTACATATAATGTTGTAGCATTTGTAGAGTTCTAAATGGAAGTTCTTCAAGGAGTTCTCCATTTTTAAGGAATTCATGGTGTAGCAAGGCATGACTTTATTTGACAACATGTATTCACACATGATAAAAAAAACCACAACATGTATTCACACTGAGAGTGCTGTTAGGAACTACTTATTTTATAGCTAGATATAACAAAGTATTTAAAAGTAAATGTCCATTAACATGGAGAACAATTGCAATACTTTATGTTGGGATATTTGCCCATGCCTAAGAAGTAAGACCATGGAAGCATGGACCATGCACCACGTTACCCCCACTTCAGGTCCAGAAAAGCTCAAGAGGGGTCCATCGCCATTGCCAATAGGCTGTGCTCAATGGTTCTCTTCCTGATTCTACCTATGCCTCAGTTGCCTCTAGGAACCACAGAAGACGTATCTTCCCTTTTGTATTTGTTCCCTCTGTCCACACCCATCACCACATTCGCCACAACCTGTGCTCCTCTGCGGACCTGGACAGACCGCAGACAGTACGTGGACCAATAAGAAGTGTCAATCTAAGCCATTAGCCATCATTTAAATCCCTCAGCACCTATAAGTATTCATCTCCAGTTCCATGAGATTACAAAATGCTCTACTATTTCTTTGCTGTCTATTTTTCCTACATATGTATGAGCTGTAGCCACTTATGATCTTGGTCCTGTTGCATACTCATAACTGCTTCCAGAGATTACAAAATGCTCTGTTATTTCTTTGCTGTCTATTTTTCCTACATATGTATGAATGTGTGTATCCTGCATATATGTATAGATGAAATGAAGAGAAAAAGTAATGTCACCCTTCATCTCTTAGCTAATATTTCTTCAACTTATATATAAACTATTTTTGACAGTTCTCACTCAATAGTTAGTTCAATCACTTCACCAATTCCAAAAAAAGTAACTAACAAAATCATATCTTAGTCTATTAAGGTCTATGTTGGACTTGTACATGTTTAATGCCAACTTTTCGTATTTACAAACAGTCAAATACAAAGAACACCCAATGTTAATATTCTGCACTCTGCACTTAGGAATACCCTCACACAATTTGAACATGTTGACCTTTTCACATTCTGTTTGACCTTTTCGTATTACCTTTTTTACTTCTTAAGTTCCGATTTCCTCTTAATGCGTGGTCATGCATTGTTCTCTGGCTGCAGTGTGATGGCGGGGGTACTAACGAGAGAAGCTTATCGCTTTGTATTGATCAAGATGGGTAATTGGTTGTACGGTTTTGTAATTATTGAACTATAATTGGGTGTATGAATTTGTATTTATTGGATTATTCCATTCCGCTAACAGTATGCAGATGAAATAATTCATCTATTCCTAGGAATTCAGCTATGTGGATCTGCCATCGAGGTAAATGTGGCTGGAAAGGCAGCACACAGGTACAGTTTGAAAAATCTAATGTTTATTATTTATCACTTAAACAATTTTAATATGTGACACCTCAAATTGATGGTTTTTATCTGGTTGCAGGTATTTGCAGGGACGAAACCTAATTTCAGTATGAATCAGATCACAAAACTAAATAAGAAGATCAGACAGTTAGACGAGCAGAGTTTGCGATTAGAACCATTAAATAATGAGGTATATAGCTGTTTGGTAACTCTCCACCTTAAGCTTTCTATTACGTCTCTTTTTATTTTGGGTTGTTGTGTATTCATCTATTCATATGTCCATTTACTTTATGTTAAATTAAGACAGGATTACTATTGATGGAACTTGATATAAAACAATAAGACCTGTCTTTCTCAGTTTGTCTATCCTTCCTTTATGTCTTTCGTCTCCATCCATCTTAATCTTTTTCTACCCTGCACAATTTATGCTACATAAATGTTAAGTCAGGATCGCTGTTACATGTTCCTCCTCCTCCTCCTCCTCCTCCTCCTCCTCCTCCTCCTCATCATCATCATCATAATTACCCCAGTGCTGCAAAGGCTCCCACCTACGTTGGGGTAAGGGGGGGGATTGGATATGCAGTCTTACCCCTGTACTAAAGCATAGAGAACTGTTTGCGGGTGACTCATAGTGAATATCGCGTCGAAAAATGCATGTACTGACCACT